GAGGGTGTACACACGACCATGATTTTGTCTCGTCGCCTGCAGCTCAGCCCAAAGGAAAGCGCGATGCCTCACGTCGCCCCTCAGTGTTTTCGCTTTCGGTGCTCGGTCCAACACTAACACGACCTCAACAGGTCCAGTCTATCGTTCCATTGACATCGCTTCATCTTCCACGGTCGCTGTACATAATCGCCTCCGGTCCATTCCCCGCGGCCAGTGTTCATATCAGGAACATCCGACATACCCAGGTACGGACTTATCACGGCGTAAATTCTACCGCATTTTTGTAGCACCCTCATTGAGCTCATGTCTCGCAGCATCCTCAGCTGGGAAAGCAACAAGGCATAGCATGATGACCACTAACACGACGAGACGCGTCTCGAATGTGAACCTGCCGCCAGGTTACTTTGGCTTCCGGCGCCCGCCCGTCTGCCCCACTCCCCGGCAAGCCACAGGACGCGGCAACATGCTCATGTCAACGACCTTGGAGGAATCCAATTGTCCCAGAAAGAAATAGCAAGCCTCGAAGCGACATCCGAGAAAGAAACCATGAGTCTGGGGCACCGCCGTGCCGCCTCAATGGCCCGAGAGCGATGTGGGAAACCCCCAACTCAGCGCCGCCAACGGTCCGGGCAGGACGCCACTTCGGCCGCCCTGAGGAGCCTTCTTACTCAGAACAATCTGCCTCTGACACCCAATCTAAAGCGACTCGCCAGCTCCCAGCACACCGGGATTTGCCAACAATAAGACGACAATTCTCCTGCGTAAGGGAAGTCGCTTCGCCGTGCATGAGTTGGCCGTTGCCAGCACATCCTCGTCGCTACTCCCATCCACCATTCACAGCCGGCTTTCTTCACATCCACAGAGCCGAGCACCCCGATGGAACAAGTCATTGGCTGTGTTCTGTGCGCTTGATCGGCGTGTGCTGGCACCCACCACAAAGTGCTATCAGGCTTGACGGGCAGCAGCTCTCTGGTTACTTGCATTTCGGCTCATCGTGCGCGTCACTGACCCTCTAGGCCCCAGCAGATGTCGCGCCGATGAAATCTCGCTACCGCTCTTTTCTCCGTCCGGAGACTTCTCCTCGGCGGATGTACAATCGGTACCGCTGAGGGTGACAGATCACCATGATGCCACTGACAGGATACGACACGGAAGCGAGCTGGCAGATGCCACGGATTGGCACTCCAAGGTGCCATGGGCTCCCTCAAACCATTCATCGGCGAATGCGACGGCGCTCGAGCCTCCCGTTTATTTTCTGTGCCTCCTCTCGCACATTCAAATCGGTCGTGCCAGGGCCGCATGAACGCACCTCCAAGGGGGGCTTGGGGGCTCAAGGACCTGCTTGCCTCTGCGCGTCTGATCCCGGCGTCTTGACTGGCCAGATCAGATGCGAAACTTCTTCCCGGTTTGTCTGGTTTACCAAAAAAAAAAAAAAAAAAAAAAAAAAAAAAAAAAAAAAAAAAAAAAAAAACCCTGGCTGCACTACCGATCGATCAACGTCAGAAATGTCTGTCCATACTCCACCGAATGACCAACTCAATTATCGGACGATGTCTTCTATGGGTCTTGGCTCTAATTGGGGAGACGAGCCGCCGGTGTCTTACACAGAAACGTCGCCAATCCTCCAGCTTTCCCTCCATAGCTGCGGCGAACATGAACCCTTCGACCGCTACGCCAGCGGCTGCCACTGCACCACCCGAATCTCAGCATGCCAACTACCGCTGCATGTCTCTTTTTTGACTTACCGGCATAAAGTCCCGGTGGCATGGCGCTGCAACCAACCCAATGGCTTCCCCGAACGTGACAAGACCCTTAAATTCCCTGTTTAAATGACATAAGCAAGTTGTCCGTCATTTAGACTCATCATGGTTGTGAGATGGCATGTGACCCGCGGAACGCGCTTCAACTTCTGCAACGCACAATATAAGGTAATTGGAATATCAAACCCGTCTGGCTTGCAAGAACAATTTCGACGGAATGTAGGGCGAAAAGGTGCGCTCTCGCTGAGGGAACAAGGAAAATCGCACATTGACCAATCGCTCGAGAAACGATTAAGATGAACCTGCGAGACACTTTCACCTGCCTGAGCACCAGCATTGCGTAATCGGTCGCACTAGGTTTCCGTCCTTGCGTCCGGCCCGGGCGGCACCGGAATCGGGACCGTGAAGTGGGTCCCGGGATCCCGGAGGCCCGTCCGACTTTGTCAACTCAGAAGCTCACCATGAGAAAGTGTTGACGATTGGCCCGGAAACATATCTCACTGCAAGTGAGAGCGAGAGATTTCTTCGGAGGAACTAGCGGTGGTCACCTCAAAGCCTGCTCCATGCGAGCCCGTGATACGCGAGCCCAAGTAAACGTCGCGACGGATATGCCCAGTTCCGAGCACTGCCTCATGAGTGTAAGAGGCTAGCATAGTACGGATGCTGTAGCACTGCCTTTGGATATCTCAGGCAGCGAGCGTCATAAAAGCTGTGCCAGGACAAGCAGCGACACTGATGAAGAACATGGCTCTTCGGGTTGGGCCTTGACTTGGTTTCCGACGTCTACAGATATAAATCCCAATGCGATGGATCGGTCGTCCGTACACACCCAGTATCGCTACAGTAGAACTGGCTCGACAGCCACTGAGAAGGCAAAATTCTTGGGGACCACCCGTATGGTCACAATCTGTGGTTCAATGAATTTTCCAATCATGGTATTCTTTCAATTTTCTCCTGAGCCATCCAAACACCATCGTCTCGTACCTTAGGCCAATCCCGGCATGCATCTATACGTGATTCTTCATATGCCAACAGCAGGCTTTATCATCTAGTAAAACAAGTCATGATCCGGGCCATTCCTAGAAGATGGCCCAGACATAGCAAGCGTGTCGTCGGGGACAACCATATGCAAGTCGGCCCAACGACCGTCTTCTCCCCCAAAGTATTACTCCTTCTTGGGCGAGGCCTTCGTCTCGGCCTCTTCCTCCGCCGCAGCCGCCATAGCCGCCATGGCGTCCTCGTCGACTTCATCGTCGTCGTCCTCCTCCTTCTTCTCAGCCGGGGCCGGGGCCGGGGCCTCAACCTTCTTGGCCCCGCTCAGGTCCCAGTCAATCTCGGCGCCAGCGCCGTAACGCTCGACAAGCCAGTCGTTGGCCTTGCGGAAGTGTCCGCAGTCAAAGAAGCCCCTCGACGCACTCAGCGGGCTAGGGTGCACGCTCTTGAGAATGAGATGCTTCTTGGCGTCAATCTTGACGACGCGCTTGCCGGCGGGCGTGCCCCACGCCATGTAGACGACGCCGCGAGAGCGCTTCTGCGCGACGAGGTCAATGACCTTTTGCGTGAAGCGCTCCCAGCCGCGGTTCGAGTGCGAGTTGGCCTCGTGCGCGCGGACCGTCAGGCAGGTGTTGAGCATGAGCACGCCGCGGTCCGCCCACGGGGTCAGCAGGCCGCCGTTCTTGGGAGGCGGGCTGAAGCTCGGGTAGTCCTTCCTGAGGGCGATGTACATGTTTTTGAGCGAAGGAGGGGCCGGGGTCGGGGGGCGGACGGAGAAGGCGAGGCCGTGGGCTTGATTGTGGTTGTGGTAGGGGTCTTGGCCGACGATGACGACTTTGACGTTGTTGAAGGGGGTATGGCGGGACCTGAAGCTGTGTTAGCATACACGTATTCAGTGCGCTGGGGCAGTGGAATTGGGGAACGGACCAAGAGTACACATCCTCCTTTGGAGGAAACCACTTCCTTCCTGCACTAGTTTCCCTGTTCAAGAACCTCTTGAGGTCGAGGAACTCCTTGCTCGTGACCTCATCCTTGAGGTGTGCCAGCCAGCTCTCGTGCAAAGTGTCGATCTCGAGCTGGAGCAGCTCCTTCTGCTCGGCCGTCAGTCCGGCGACCCACTTCTCCTTGTCGAACTTGGGAGCCGGCGTATCGGCGGCGGCGGCTGCAGCCACAGCGCCGTTGCCGCTCCCTGCGGCGGCGGAACCCTTGGCAACCGGTTTCGGGGCGCCGAAGAAGGACATGATACTGCCGTCCTGCTTGGGTTTCTTGCTGTCCGCGGATGACAGCGTGCCGGCCTTGCGCTTGAGGGTCGACATGTTGGTCTTTGTGGGGAAGGAGGACGGCTTTTTGGAGAAAGTGGTGATGTGGAGTGCCCCTTGATCTGGGCGAGGGCGGACTAGAACTGGCAGCTGGAAGGGCAGGCGGAGGCGTAGGCGGGTAATCGTGGTGAGATGTGTGTGGGTGGTCGTGAAGGCGTCAGCTGTCGTCAATGGGTTCGTAAATCAAAGTTGGGGCATAGATGGAAGTTCACAAGAGAAGAAATGGATAATGGCGAGGTCAATCGGAAGGGGAAGAGCGGCTAGAGAAGAAGAGGTGAGGTTGGCGTGCCGGACGTCGTAGTAGAATTCTTTGCCTGGCCAAAGCTGAAAGTGCCGGTCTGCGGACCGTCCAGTGTCGCGTGGGGCGACGCGCTACCGGTAAGAGCAAAGAAAAAAAAAGGAAGTCATTTACGCGAAAACCCCCGGTGGCCCGCTCTTTCAGGCGCGTCCTGCCACGAGTTTTAGTGGTTGGTAGGGGCGCGGGGGAGCTGCGTGGGAGCTGCAGCCCTGCAGCGCCCCCAGCTTAGGTTGGCTCGGCGGCACCCGCATGTTCCCCCTGAGATGGGCGTTGTTTGGGACGAAGTGGTGACTTCATAGGCGTCCGACGCGGCATCGGGAGGGTGTCATTGGACGGTGCATCCTGTCATCTTGGTGTTCGTCAAGCGAATTCTCGTCCAACTTGGCATCAAAAGCTTAAACACATCAAAAGACAAAAAAGTCGTGTTGTGGGGGACTATCATTACATCTTTCGCTACATAGTACAAGTTTTTGGTTTTCCCATGTCTAATAAACCCAGACCACGACATCTGCGTGTCGTTTGGCGTGCAACTCCAGGCCCGGATTCTTTTCCTTCCGGTTCATTAATAGCAGCCCGCCGTTTTAACGCCCAACAATGCATTGAAAGGGAAAGAGTGGTGATGCTGTGTCTTCAGTCCATGTCCCGCCTCGACTTCTCATTAACGCTCCTGAACACTCGCTTGCCGACTTCGTAGCTGCTGATCATGATGGCGCAGGCCGGGGCAACCTTCAGAGTGCGGGGAATCCATCCCTTCCAGAGGCCCTGGATACCTTCGGTCGAAAATATGTGCCAGAGCAGGCGAATCATTGTGCCTTGTTCAGCTGCAGCCATCTTGGCGGCGTTGGGGGAGTCGCGGTAGACTTGAGTCCTCGTCTTGCCCACGTCGAACGGCATCGTCACAATCGATGCGAATCCACCAGACACAGCACCGGCGATGAAGCTATCCGTCAGGGTTTCCGTATGGTTCTCCTGGCTTTGCGATCTACGGCGCGCCTGTGTCCGAGAACCCCTGACGTCCAGCGTTCGGCCACGGCGGGTCTCGCGCAGGTCCGTCAGCTTTCCCCGGATCGTCTCGTACCCCCACCAGTAGATACCCGAGAAGGGCACATCCCTCCACAACGTCAAGGTCAGGCCCCTCCACAACGCGCTGTAGCCGCTGGCGTTGACCATGTCCTTGATGCCTCGGAACGTGTTGGCAAGGTGGCCTGTTGCAGAGTTTCCGGTGCTGGCTTGCATTCTGGTGCGGAACAGCTCGATCGGGCTGACGGCGGCGGCGGCAAGGATGCGAGCTCCGGAGCCGGCGACAAGGGGAGCGGTGTCGTCGTTGAGCCTTTGTGCGATCGGGCTCTTCTTGTTGTATCGCAGGTAGTCGTAGCCGGTGAAGTAGATGATGTTTCCCGGAATCGTCATGAGTAACGTCGGAGACAGACCCCGCCACAGGCTGGTGAACCCCTCGTTGCGCGCAATCTTCCTGAGTCCGTCCATGGTCGAGCTGATTGTCTTTCGCTCCACCTCCTCGACGGCACAATCGGCCGCCACTGCGGTCGCGGCGCCCTCCCCTTTGGGCATGGCTATGCACAGCTCAGAGTTGCCGTTCATGAAGAAGACCTCCCTGCAGCAGGCAGTAACTCCGAGCGTCTCTCGATTAAAGGTCTTCAGGGTGTTGGTCGTCATCGCAAGCTTGGAAAAGTCTACCGAAGGCGGGGTGACGGTTTGGGACTGCCATCGAACTCGTACAACATCGAGCGGCGTAACTGTGGTGAGCCGCGTTAGCGGAAGGCGACTGAATTGATATGCAAAAGCTGTACTTACCGAGAAGCGACGTCAACAGACTGCCCGACATGGCCGAGATCATCTTTTGAGACGCGCTGATGTCCTCGTCACCGCCTCCTGGACCATTGTCCTTGCCTGGAATCATGCGCGCCATGGCGAAGGAGTCATCCGGGTCGAATCTGTCGTGGTCCTGGCCGCCGGTAGCCTGGTGTATGGTAGTCATCGCGGACCAAGTTGCATGGTCGGAGAGATCGGAGCTGGAGAAAGAGGAAGTTCCCATCCGGTCGCAAGTGCTGTATAACGTCGTATAAGGCCAAAGAGTTGTGAGTCGTGTCGTAGGAGAAAAGACGGATGAGGGGAAGACAAGCTTTCGTGAGCTTTTTCGCTCGAGCAGGGGGAGATGGGCGAGATGGACCTTACCCCGTTTGCCAGAGTCCGGCCGTCATCGTCCTTCTTCCCCAAAAATTTTGGGCCGGAGATAATGAGATGGGTGGCGTTGGGGCACGTACCTTGCCTGGCCGAGCCGAGCTCAGGACGTCACTAACCGAAAATGGGGTATGATTGGCTCGACATCGGGTGGTGCCTCCGATGTTCCACACCTGCACTAAATGTCACCGATAAGCACCAGCCCGGTGGAGCTGACGCCGGATGACTCCAGTTGTCGGCGTGCGTGCTTACAACGCAGAGTCGATGATGAGTGGTCGGCCTCAACTACATCTCATTTCTTAAATAGGTACATCTTCAACCACCTTGGCCAACCAAGCTTTCAACTCCATCGCACAACTTTTTCTTTATTTTTCAGTCGACCCTCATGACATTATTATAGAATTAGCATTTGCTCCAGAGCTCAGGTTTTCCTGAGCAACCCACAAGCACCTTACCATGGAAGATAACCCGCCAAAGCTCGACTCCGAGCTGGAGTCTTTCCGCCAACAATGGAAGACGGAGCTTCAGTCCAAGAAGTCGGTTCCAGAGCCGCGCGGATCTCACTCAAAGAAAGCCGTGCCCTCATCGTCCAAGGCGATTGTGGCCCCTGAAAGTTCCAGAACTACAACAGCGAAGAAGTCCCAGATTGAAGAGGATGAAGAATATGCTCGTGCGTTGACATTCGATGAGCCGGCACCTCCGTCGTCTTCGGGGAGGACTTTGGATCAGCCGGAGCCACCAAAGGCCAAGGAGCTGGTCTCGGCCTTGGATCACTTTGAAGAGGCGGTGGAGAAGGAGGCGATTGGTAATTTGGGCGATAGCTTAAAGCTCTATCGAAAGGCTTTCCGGGTGAGTAACAGTCTGGCTCTCATGTGCGAGTGATTATATCTAACACCTCTATAAAGATGGACAACCGTGTGGATTTGGCCTACAGGAAAAAGCATTTCCCTGCAGCTGTGGGGAAGCCTGTGCAGACCGCAACGTCAGCCACGCCAGCCGCCACCTCAAGTGCGGCCGATAAGTCAGCAGAGACGCAGCAGCAGACTATGAGTGAGCTCATCGCGAGCTTCTCAGGTCTCTCTGTGGCAGCAGCTCCTCCTCCAGTGGAGGGAGACCCGGCGCCTCCTTGCCCCATCGCCGAACTACCCGAGGAAATTCTAGTCCACATTTTCAAGGACCTGGCTGTTCTTGATGTTGGCGATTACGTGCGCCTGTCTCTCGTTTGCAAGCGTTTCGCCTACATTGTCGCCACGGAGCAGTCCATCTGGCGTCGCATCGCAATGGGCACCGAGTTCGGTTTTGCTGGAATGCATTACCACTGGCAGAAGGGCATCTCGTGGGAGCCCCTGGGCACGGCGGAGGAAATCGAAGACACAGACTTTGTCAGCATGGAGGAGCTCAACCAACATCGTGAAGAAGAGAAGGAAGCAACAACTCTTGTTCTCTTACCGGAACTGTATTCCTCGTCGTGGCTGAAGCTTTGGCGGCACCGACCTCGCATTCGCTTCAACGGGTGCTACATCTCCACGGTGAACTACATCCGCGCTGGTGGAGCCAACGCGAACCAGATTACCTGGAACAGTCCTGTTCACATCGTCACATATTACCGCTACCTACGCTTCTTCCGCGACGGTACAGTCATCAGCCTACTCACCACCGCCGAGCCGGGCGACGTCGTGCACTACATGACCAAAAGCCACCTGGAGCAGCACGTCGGTGGCAACGCAGCTCATCTCCCTTCTATACTTATGCAGGACGCCCTGAAGGGACGCTGGCGGTTGTCGTCAGCTTTAGACCACCCCGATGCACCTCTGGGTGAGACAGAAGGTGACCTCTTCGTCGAGACGGAGGGAGTCGCTCCCAAGTACATGTACAGGATGGACATGTCGATGCGAAACGCTGGTAAGGGGGCGCGGAACACGAAGCTAGTTTGGAAGGGCTTCTATAGCTATAACAAGCTAACGGATGACTGGGGCGAGTTCGCCCTGAAGAACGATAAGCCCTTCTATTTCAGCAGGGTTAAGAGCTACGGCGTTGGGCAGTGAGTTGACTCGCCATAGATGAATACAATCAGATGCTTGTGCTCTCATCAGTATTGATCTTTTCTTAATACTTCATCAGGATATATATAGCATAGACGGCTCTCTTTTGAAACCATCAATCAGAAATGCGACTTCACGGGCCTGAGCTTGACTGGCACCAAAGTAACAGCCCATCCACAACTTTACCAATCCGTGCTCTTTGCAACATCCTCCCAATCCTCACAAACCTTGACCATATCTTCACACTTCTTCTTGATCCTCCCCCATCCATCTGTCCCCAACGGAACCCTCAGCGGCACCTCCCGCCCCGCGGCCATCCCCTCGCCCCGGACAAGCTCCACCATCCGCTCAACAGCCTTCTCCGGATCCCCGGGCTCCGTCCCGTAAATCTTGGCTCCCTGCTCCACACAACCCGCATTGAAGCCCGCAAACTCTGGGATCCGCAGCGGGATGTGCGCGAGCTTGACAAACACCCTCGTGCGGAAGTATCCCGGCTCGACCATGAGGACCTTCAAGCCCGGCGCCAGGATCGCGAGCTCTTGCGCGAGTGTCTCGACGGCGGCTAGCTCGGGGTTACCCCCTTGGTTAGCACAATGTTCTCAGAGAGTTCCAACAGTGTTATGAGATACAGGAAGGGAAAGGTCCGCACCTGATAACGCAAACTTGCTGGCGCAGTACGCCCCGGCAGAGATGTCGACGTGCCACGCGGCCTGCGAGCTGAGAAACACCAGCGTCCCCGTTCCCCTCTCCCTTAGTAACGGGAGAAACGCACGCGCGATGTTCAGCGGCCCGTGGAAATTCGTGCGGAAGCACTCCTCCATCTGTTCTTGCCTGTTCCCTCTCTCATTCATCAGCCTCATCCATTCCATTGCAACTCCCCCCACGCCCCAAGGTCATGTACAGAACGAACAAAACTCACGTCAACTCCTCAACCAACCCAGAGAGCACATATCCCGCATTGTTCACCACAACATCGACGCCGCCGGGGAACGCCGCCCACGCCTGCTCAACCGTCTCCCGAATGGCGATCTCAGAAGCCGACACGTCCAGGTCCATGACCTTCGCGCCGGTATCCTTGAGATGCGCGAGCTTGACGTCGGCCTGGCGGCCCGTGGCGATGACGTTCTCCCCCTCGGCGCATAGTCTCCTGACGAGGATCTCGCCGAAGCCGCTCGAGCAGCCTGTGATGAACCAGGTCTTGGGTACTCTCGTTGCTTCTGCGCCTGTAGCCATGGTATCACGAACAGACAGAGAGAGATGCAGGCCAAGGTTCTCATCCTTCAGGGATAGGAACGAGAGAATGGAGGAAGCAGATCTTAAAGACCATCCGGTGTAAGCTCGTGCTGGTGGTGATAGCAACGCCACCCCAGTCATGTTTGTCTGCACTGGCATGCCACCAACGATAAATCACACGCAAACAATATCCACTTTCGTCCTACTTTCCGCTAAAACATGACCCTCATTAGAAGACGAAAGGTGAGAATCAGCAGTTGTACCGACTCGAGTACTTGCATTTGCCTTTTATAGTTAACGGAGGCGAAAGGGTCCCATGGGCCAGAGCCTTAGCCTATTAAAGAATGTATCGTTCTTAATCTAAGGCGCAGAAAGGCGTGCGGGAATTGTCTGTTCCACACTTTGGATACGCAGTCATGTTTTCGTGTAAAACATGGCTTACGAGGTTCCGCAAGCAACATGCACCTATCAGGCAAGCACGGAGACGTATGTCAATCAAGAACCCGTACCACGGAAGATCTTTTATCTATAGTGGGCCGAGGATTTTCTGGCCGTTGTTTTCTCGGATTCTCATCGAATCGTACATTACGGCCCAATCATGGGCACAAGAAAAAGGTAGCCAGGCTTTTCAAATGCATCAGAAAATAAACAGTTCGCTCCCTTATTGCAAAACGCCCCAACACCTGGCAGGATGACAGTGTTCAGTGCTTCCCTTCCCAAGTTGTGAGTTCCTTTTCCTAAGCAATACACATGTAGAAATGTAAAAGAAAATGCTGGATACTGATGGTTCCTTGCAAACAAGGTGGTTGCATGGGGCAGTAGCGAGTGTGATGGACGCGCATAAATGCAATGGTAAATGATCAGTGGACGCCCCGGGTATCAATGTCGCACTTTATGCCAAGGCTGGGTAAAGACACGCAATAGGGCAAGTTTAGGAAATGCACCGGACCACAGCGTACCACAAGCTGACGGAGAGAGAGCCTCCAGGCTCCATGTTGTCGGTGTGAGGCCGGGCCATATGGCCACCAGGCACCGTCTCAGCGCGGTGTCACTCTCTTGCCGTCCAAGAACTTGGGGCTTCTGGCATCGTAGTACATATTCGGCGTTTGTTGCTGCCTCCGCTGTTCGTATGCCATCCGCTCTTCCTCATCGAGAGAGAATGCCTTCTTCAACCAGCCGAATGCACTGCGCTTCTTTTTCAGTCGCTTCTCACCGCTAGCCGTGGCTTGAGAATCGTAAGTCATAGTCGTGACGGTACTCAACATACTTGCGCCACCCAAGCGGGAGGGTGCGTTCCTCTGGTGGGAGGGATAGTACCCAGATTGAGCATACGGAGACCGAGGTTGCGCACCAGCCGTAAGGGGCCTTTGCTGCAGAGGAGAATGCGGGCTTGCCTGCACCGGGCGGTAAAATTGGTGCTCAGACCGAGGAGAAGGCAGTACTGGCGGTTGCTGCACCTGCGGAGACAGCTCATTGGTGTTGTGATAGCGCGGTCGTTGATCGATATCTGAGCCGTACGCTG